GACAGAAGTAAGAGGGGAAGGCTTTTTTGAGCTCCCATGCAGCTAAGGGGGCCTGGAGTCACCTCAGTGTACAAACTAGGGGTCTTTCATATGCCCCGCTCTGTCCAGGCTGGGGAGGTGAAGAGCCATGTGAACAGACCCCGTCAGTTCCGGGTCTTTGGTCTTTATCAGGGTGGCTATCTGGGGTAACATCCTGAGGCCAGCTCAGCAGCTCTCTCACCTTGACCCCGCAGGATATTCCTCCTTTCACCACTCTGGGGGCCTGGGTGTCCTTTCAGAGACTTCTCTCCCTGGGAGAGGCTCACCCCTGTGAGCCTAGGTTTATTCTGATTTTGAATAAACTGTGTAGAATCTGAAAGGGCCAGTCTTGTGATCCCTCCTTGGGATTTTCTGTTCTTTTCTCCATCATATTCATTATACTTCTAACAAGTGAGAAGAGGTATATGATAAGACTGGCTTGCTTTGCAGCCTGAGTAAGCAAACTGAGCGCTTACTCAATATTTTACGTAAAGACTTATTTTGCAATGCAGTTCCAAATCAGTATCTCAGAGGTCGATTTAGCCCACAGAAATGTTTTGTTTGGCTCAGCAGATTACCAACTCTAAATATTCTGAGATTTACCAAGAAACTAGATTTCTGATATTTTTGAAAATTTTGTAAGTTGGAGTGTCTTTTTTCCCCCTCTAACAAATCACCTGTGCCCACAACCCAGTGGCTTCCCTCCCAGCCCCCTCCACACTAACTCTATATCCTCTGGTAACTGTTACTAGGTAGGGAGAAGGGCACCCTGGGGCCCCCAAGTCTGCCTGATCTAAATAGACTGCCATCTACAGCATCAAGACAAAACATACAGACCTTTAGTGGAAAGGAACTTTAGTACAATTAGTCACAGAAAAGGCAGAGAATATAGTTTGTAAATCAAGCACCCAAGGTTACCCATCCCCTCATGGGGAAATGTTCAACCAAACAGGTTTGGCCCAAAGTAGGGCGACTAAGACCTCCCACCAGTCTAAAGCACCTCCTGGTGATGACTGATAGAAAGGGTCAGACATGGACAGACAAGTCTGGAAGGAAAAGAGCAAACACAAAATCAAGATAAAAGCTGCCAGTGAACTTCCCTCATCTGTTTCACCCAGTCCGGGATCAAGAAGCCAGTGCAGCTTCTTCACAGGTCTCTCTGTTTCCTGTGCCCCCTCAGCTCTCCTTCCCCAATCTCTTCCTCAGTTTTCCTCTTGCTTCCAGATCAACTCCACATTTCCTTGGGTGGGGCAGGGGACCTGGAAACTTCCCTTTTCCTGGGGACCACCCTGGTACAAAAAGTCTGCTTATGAGGAGATTTAAAGATGTAAATGTTTACATTAATAAATTTGAAAGATGTCAACAACTGCATCTTCCCCTTTAAGAAAGTAGAATATAGAGGAACAAAACAGAGGGTCAGATAAAGTTAAGCCAATGGCAATTTCTAGAAATCTGAGTGAGGGAATAAGATTGCAAGAAGGGGAGGGAGAAAACATGGAGATGAGGGTGGACTTGATGTGGTGACATGCATCTGAATCACCAAAGTGTTATAAACCAATGTGACCTCAATTTTTAAAAATTTAGAGAAGAATGTAAGAAAAGAAGAGCATGTTAAAACCAAAGCAAGTAGAAGGAGGTTAATAATAAAGATTAGAATAGGTGCAGCTATCAAAAAAGTAGGAGGTGGGCAAGAGGCAATCCCATTATTTTGTCTTTTAACTGAGATGTACGGATGCTGCACACCAGCTCTACCTACTGGTGATGCGGTTACCTAGACTTAATAAACTAAATGTCAAAAATATATATATATATATTTTTAAAAGATTCATTTATTTCTACACACAAGGCTGGGGCACAAGCCAGAGGTGTGGGGGTTGAGCGGGTTCAATAGAGACAGAATCTGGAGAAGAACAGATTGTCTTAAACACATTACTGAGGGGAGCAGCGGGCAGGTAATGAGAGGTCTGCCGAGCCATGTGGATCACCTCCCTGGCCAGGGATTGAAGTCATGCTGCAGTGGCTTCAGATAGCTTCATAGTGCTGTGCTTTAACCTGTTGTGCCACCAGGGAGGGACACAAAAAAATACTTAAAAAAATAATAATATAAAGTTTATTTTTTACATCATTTTGTGCCTTTTTCCATATCAGTCGTAATCCCCATGGGCTTCCCATCACCAAATCACCCATGTGCCATCACCATAGTCCAGTGCAAATCTTGCCCCGCCCACGTTTTTTATCCCATTCCCCACTCCACCCCCATAAAATGTCTCTGGTATATAGTTGTTCATTATTATGATTACTTTCTTTGTTTATATTCCTGCTATGAGTGAAACCATCCAATATTTTTCTTTTTCTTTCTGGCTTATTTCACTGGGTGTGATCCCTTCCAGCTCCATCCATATTGCTGCAAAAGGCATGTGTTTATCTTTTTGATTGCTGAGTAATATTCCATCGTATATATGTACCACATCTTTGTTTGTTTGTTTGTTTGTTTTGTGCCATATCTTCTTAATCCAGTCATCTACTTTTGGGCATTTGGGTTGATTCTAATTGTAAATAAAGCAGCAATAAACATGGGGGTGCAGGTGTCTTTCTGAATCAGTGAAAAAATACTGGTTTTTATATCAACTATAAATTATGACTTTAGCATTTGTTGACAGCTTTTGTAGTTATTATTATTCATGTTTGGCTATACCATAGCTTTGTCATTTGGCAACTCAAGTATAATATCAGATTTAACAGGGAATATATATGTTTCAGAAAAAATTCATGTGTAGTTAAGACCTATTTATTTTTGTTGTTTTACTTACATTGTTGTTTATTTTTATACAGTTGTTGGTGTCTCTGCTCATGTGTAATTCCCACAACCTCCCATCACCATGAAATGTCACCACAGTCCCTTGTACTCTTTCCTCCCTATTTTGTCCCATCTCCCTCCTTCCCTGCTGTATGCCTCAAATACAGTTTACTTTCTGTTTTTTTTAAATGTATTTACTTATATATACAAGAACTGGGGTATAGGTCATAGGTGTTGGGGGGTGTTGATAGTATTCACCAGAGATAGAGTGTGGAACAGAACATGTGGACTGATTGAAATACTCTGCTGAGGGGAGCAACGGGTTCTGCTGCACCATGTGAGTCAGCTCCCTGGCTGGGGATTGAACTCGCGCTACCTCGTGGCTGAGGTAGCTTCATAGACCTGCATTATCACAGCACCAACAGAGAGGCCCCTACTTGCAGGTTTTGTATCGCTCTCTCTTTTCTTTTTAACCATTTGGGGGGGGGTCTTTATATCCCTCCTATAAGTGAAACCATTTTATATTTTTCTTCTTCCTTCAGACATTTCACTCAGCCTCATCCCTTTTAGTTCTGCCTCTATTACTGTGAATGGCATGAATGGATCTTTCTTGATTGTTGAATACTATTCCATATTGTATGTAGAACACATATTCTGGATCCAGTCTTCTGTTTGGGGGGAATGAAGGCTGTTTCTAGGAGTTAGGACCTATGTACTTGGATTTTAAGATAGACCAAGTCAGCTAACTCTGGCATAGTCTGGACTGTATCAGCTTCTTTTCAGCACAGAGGTCTAGCATCAAAATTCATTTTACTCATCTCTTTCTTGTTTGAAGTTTCCACTCTGAGCTGACTGTAACTCTTCTTTCACACTTTACTTGTTTATTACCTAGACAGAGCTCATGAGTCCTGGCGGCTGTTTGTACTGACTATGTCATCCGGGACAACAACTCAGATTATTAATCAAAATGTCAGGTTAGAAGAATCACTGTCAGGTCACTGTAGGGGGTCGCAGTGCTGTCTTGCTGTCCCTGCTGTGGTCCCTCCTCCCCCCTAGTTGAGCCCCAGCCAGGCAAGCGGATCTCTCCTGTCTTGCCTGTTGCTCCCCTCAGCAGTGTGTTTCTGTAGATCCACTGGTTCTTCTCCCCACCCTGTCTCTGGTGAATCCTCTCACTAACCCCACACCCCAACAACACCTCAACTCTCGAATAGATAAATTAAAAAATCAAATTTTTTTAAAAATCCAACTCACCAAAAAAAAAAAAAATCACATTTCCAAACGTATTTGTTTTAGTAATACAGCCTCAAAATAAAGTAAAAATTACAGAATTCTGGGTTCTCCCTTGTGGCGCAATGGGTTAAAGTGCAGGAAGACATAGCTAACTGCAGCTGCTTCAGCACAAGTTCATCCCTGGCCAGGGAGGTGACCCACATGGCCCAGCAGACCTCTCCTGACCTACCCGCTGTTCCCCTCAGCAGTGTACTTTGTTGATCTGCTTTTTCTGCTCCCCACTCTGTCTCTGGTGAACCCTCTCACCACCCTTGTTCAACTGGCCTGTATCCCAGTTCTGTGTGCATGAATAAATAAATATACATTTTTTAAATTACAGAATTTTGACCCTCCCTAGTGGCGCAGCAGGTTAAAGTACAGCACAAAGAGGCTTAAGACATTTCCACATGAGTTCAATCCCCACCTGCCCCAGAGGTGACCACATGGTGTGGCAGACCTCTCCAGACCCGCCGCTGCTCCCCTTAGCAGTTGCTTCGTCGATCTGCCTGTTCTGCAGATCTGTCTCTGGTGAAGCCTCTGTCTCTGGTGAAGCCTCTCACCCTCTGCATCTCTGGCCTGTACCCCAGTTCTGTACGAATAAATAAATAAATATTTTTTAAAAAAAATTACAGAATTTGAAGGAGAATTAGAAACTACAATTAAGAGACATTTTAACATTCTTTTCTTTTTAATATATAGATCAACAGACAAAAAATATTGAAGATATGGAAGATTCCAACATGCCAACAATCTAAAGCTAGAAGACATACATAAGCCCAGCATTTAAGCAGAGAACACACATATACCTAGCCATATTTGGAATATTTGCCATCTGAAGACTAGTCAAACAAATTTGAACAAATTTCAATAGATCTGCTTCACAACTCCATGATCTCTGACATAAAAACAGATTTTAGAAACCAACAATAAAGAGGTTGATGAAATATATAAAGTATCAGAAAATAAAATGCGTTTACATCATACTATGAAGATCTATAAATTGGGGTGTTTTAAATATCAATGAGACAAGCTAATATATGATGTCATCATCAGAGAACTGGTAGGTGGAAGGTCTCTGCAGCAGTGCCATTAACAAGAAAATCTGTCTCACTTTATATGTGAGAAAGCCTGGTGTGTGGGCAGACTCTCCACAACTATCTAACAAGGGTCTTCCCATCATTCCAGCCAAGGTCACACCACTATCAGGGTATAGATGGCAGCTAAATTGTCTTCATTTTCTGAAAGGTCGCCAAGAACCACATACATGGTCTTGGAGGTTTAATCAAGGGCCAGTTGCTGGACCAGGCTCTGAACCAAGGGGTGGCAGAGTTGCAATAGGGATGAGTAAGAGGGGTTTTTATAGGCCTACATGGGGCGGGGAGAAATGATCAGGTAGAAAATTTTGACAAGGAACTGAAGCTTATTTTCTGCTCAGGGTAACCAGTGGTGACAAACAAGTCATGTAGTTATCAGTCCCAAATATCTGCGCCTTTGAGCAACTGCTTCCTCTGTGTGCCTAGATTTGGCTGGTGCCTGACCCTGACATTTTCTAGTGTCAGGATTCGTGCTTGGGCAGTGGGTTATTTGCTAAATACTCCATGCAATGGACCCTTACGAGGCAACGGAATTACAGCACAATTATGATTTTCAGGACATCTTTATATTTGGGTATCAGATATATACATATTTAGCTCTTCCTGAGAATGCAACTATAGTATTGTACTAGAGAGTGAGTTAGCATGAATGCCATACTATCAGATTAGAGAAAAGAGACCACATGATCCTATCATTTATGCAACTAACTCATTGCTAAACTCCATGTCTATGGGTGACTGAGCTCTTTGGAAAAAAAGTGTCAAAACTTGAAGGAAAATACCTATAGAATTTTTAGAATCTATGATTGTATTTGATTACATGAATTCATTTTCCAGCTGACTAGTGTCCAGGCTGACCAAGCCCTGCTGGGAATCATCACGAAGATCACAATGGGGTCTGGGTTTTCTTAAGGAGGCCATTTTGAGATTCAGCTCCCAGGCCCTGTTGCCTGAACCCCTGCAGTTCCTGTGTGCTGCTGGGGGAAGGGGCTCCAGGATGCAGCCCTTGCCTCACCATCCTGAGGAACCGGCAGGCCTCAGTAAAGTCTCCACAGAGTCCTTAGTGTCATGGCGCCCCATCAGACAAGCCTCCCCTCCAAGTCTGTGAACTCTGCCGCACTGTCATGTCAAGTCTTCTGGTAGGTCAGGGTGGGGTCACCAGGATGTCAGGGTGGAAATGCTGCTCCCTGGCAAGGAATCTGGAGCTGCTCTCCAGGTTGGGAGCTGTGGCTACCCAAAAGCATCCTGCAGGGAGCCTCACTGGGTCTCCTCCTGAGATGATCCCTGGCAAGGGTCATCGGTGGTGCTGGGCTGTGAGTTGCTGGCAGTGGGGCCGTGGCATCCAGGGCTGGTCTGCTCCTGGGGAGGCCTGCAGGGCTTCCTCAACTTGATGTGGCCCTGGGGCCTGCGCTGGCACTGGGGGCCACAGGAGCCATGCATTTCAGTCCCTAAGTCCACCCCATTCTGCCCCTGACAGGCCCCATGTTTCACAGTGCTGCCATCCTGACCAGGAGCCAGAAACGTCTTCTTCATATCAGAGAAAATCTTAGAAAAGTTGTGCGCAGTAGAAATCTCCAAAGAGATGTCCTCTGGTGGTTCCAACTTCACAGCTGAAGTCCTAAAGTCAGAAGAGGACAGGTTATCTTCAGTGGAACATTCCATTCAGCTCCTGGAATCCATAACAAACCCCTCCTCCTCTACACAGCACTTACCTGCTCAAGGTGTCTTTCACATCCTGCAGGGAAACAAAGAACAAAGGGAATGTCAGCGTTTCATGACACGTGGCATGAGGGGCTAGTGTCTCGAAACACTCCTTCCAAAGCATCATCCCGAGAGACTGCTGGAAACCCTGGTGGAAGGAATCCCATCCCAGGATGCCCACCCTGGCAGCACATTTAAGGACTTATGAGTCTGTTGTCTGCTTGCTGGGCTATGTGGGTGCCGCAGTGTCTGCAATCACATTTGCGTGTGGCTGTTTGGGGAAGAAGGCAGTAGCAAGCCATTCTCCCTCTGGTGAGACTGGCTCTCAGTAGTCTCATTCCTTCAGGTTGGACCCATATCAGAGACCACTTACCACAAAGTAGTGGGTCATTCTATTCATCTCTCTAGATTCCTTAGTAGTGAATCCAGCCAGAGACTGATATATCACCAAAGTGATGAAATGGGCCAGTAAGAAGTCAGTGATACCTGACAGCAGGTGTTCCTTGATGGTGGAACAGTAATGCTCCATAGTATGACCTTGAACTTCATAATATGACCTCCAGTTTGTAGTGAGAGCCAGAGGCCACACTTCCAGATTTTATCTTAATGGGTTAGATGCTTCAGGAGCTGAAAGGAGGTCCAGAAACAGCTCTTTGAGCAAGAGCTCTATAAGCAAATCAGGGAATTATTCATTTTGGCTGCCCTGCATTTCACCCACCATTATCTGGAAGAAACTTCTTTCAGGAGAAAAGTCGACAGTCAGATTAAATGGTAAAATTGCTATCAGATCTGTGCACACAAAGCAATGGCAAAAAGAAAAATGGTAGCAGTTATCTTCTGGTTTTCTTAGGCCTAGAAACCATTATATAGAGAAAGAAGGCTATATGTTTTGGGATTCACGGAGAAGCACCTTAAAAGTCTGGCAGAGGTCACCCCGGACTCTAGATGCGTGTCTGAATGAAGCAGTACTTAAACTTGCCCACACGAGTTATGCACGTAGGACTTGTCAACTTCCCACAATTCCTCTCCATTCTCTCAATAACTCAGGAACTGACACCTTGTTTCCTCCAAACACAGTCTCACCTGAAGCAACTTCTGGGCTGAGCTCTGATATTTCTTCTCTAGCTCTAGGATGTGACGGTCAACTTCATGATATTGCTTTGCCAGACTGGCCTTGCTGTCCTGCAGTCTCTTCAGGGTCTGTTTTCTTTCTCTCTCTAATTCCTGAAGATAATACTTCTCTTTTTCACAAAGGAAAATGTGGAGCTTCTCAAAATCACACTGGATTTTTTGTCTCTGCAGGTTTGTCTTCTCCTAGAAAAACGCATATTGGTTCAAATGGGCATTAATGGATGAATTGACAAAGAAAATGCAGAACACAGATACAGTGGATTACTGTACCCACTTAGAAAGAAAGAAAACTCTGAAATGAAACATGCTACAATATGGGCGTATCTGAAGACATTATGATATGAATTAAGCCAGAAATGGAAGAGTAGAAATTGTATGATTCTACTTATGAGGTAATCTATTCAAAATTGTACACAGAAAGTCTAAGAAAGGTTAAATGGTAAAATTGCTGTCAGATCCAAAGCCCAGTGTCTGTGTGTGTGAACCTAATGTGATCTCCCCCTGCTCCCCGAATCTGCATTCAGTCACAGGAGAACTTGGATAGTTATCAGCAAATGATACATCCTAAATAGGCACATGTGACTGATCTTGAATGAGTCCCAGGTTGGCATAAGTTAAGAGATGGTATGACAGTCTTTCCAGAGGCCAAGGGCCCACCACGGAAATTGGAAACACAGTTATCTTAAGGAAAGCTTCTTCATACTCCTCCCAGTAAGACCCATAGTCTGCAGTCCAAGTGTGTCTGTTCTTGCAGAGTTCATGAGCTTGAGGATGAGCTGCTCTGTAACTAACCAATGAACTTTTCACCACAGCCACATCTTTGCCCTTAGCCTACCTTTTAGCTAATACAATTTAATTCCTTCTTTCTCAGCCCTGGTTTCTAAAATGTATATAACCTCAGTCCCTTTGTGATTTTGGAAGGCTGATATCTTTGTCTTCTGCTTCCTTGCCAAATGACTTACAATAAAATTGTTTCTCTGAGCCTGGTGTCGCAGTAACTGGTTTTTACACCTGTCGGGCCGTGAGTACTGTATCAGGCAACAAAGTGGCACTGCAGGTTGGACTGTCTGCCCAAGACTCGGTACCCCCAGCATGGGCAGATCTCCCCTGTGGTGAACCTAAGTAACCCCCTAGATCTGTGTCCAAAGGCTTAATGACTGGACACTTCACTCCTCTCTGATGCTCCAGACTCCCTTGGAGTTATTTTTATTTTTAGAAAATAAATTGACTTCACATTTCTCCTGGGCAAGTACTAGTTACATCATGCTTGCACCCTATTTTCTCAACGGTCTTATAACGGTTGTGGGTTCCAGTCCCAGACTAAGAGAGAGCCTGGAAGGTTAGAACACCAGTCTTGTGTAAATTTGGGTTAGCGTTCCAAGAAATAAGGACAACTGCAGAAGGAATGTACATCTAGTCATGGGTAGTATCCCAGGAAACGCTTGCATTCAGGTCCCAAGGCAGGTAGTTTCAGTTTGGCTTAAAACTAGGAGACCACTGTTATAGCTGCCTTATGTTTGTGTGTTTTTCCCCTCGTGCTTCATTGTGTTACCGCCAGATGGTAATATTGGAATTAACTCATATGTCTTTCTTACAAAGGTACCTATATGAATGTTAAACACAGGTCATAATAGAAACTGTATTAAAATAGGAGTTAGGTGAGAAAGCAATGAAGAGTTGTTACTTGATGGATAATGAGTTATAGGTTGGAGTGAAGTTCTGCAGTGGCAATGGTCATACAACAATATCATACAACAATATTCAAGTCCTTCAGTACTGAACAATATACTTTAAAATGGTTAAAATGGTAAATGTTATTTTATATGCATTTTAACATCAACAGACACACAAGGACAATTTGCTCAGCTACTGTGACACTATTTTCCCATGAGTCATTGGCGCTGGATGTGTGTCCCACATCCCTGCTGCACAGCCATACTTTGGAGGCCACTTATGGGGGAGAGGCTGTCACAATTTTCTATAATCATCTGGTTAATGGATTTCTTCTTCAGTCAAGGTGAAGGAAAAAGGAAAAGAGAGAGGGCTAGATAATTGGATCATAGAACTTATCCAAGGTCAACATTTTTCCATGATAAGGTAAAAAGGAGTCTGTATTTGAATGCAGGAGGTTTCTTTGTCCCTGAGGTAATTTTGTGAAGCAAAATGAGCATAACTAAGTCAGGACTTTAGGGCACTAGGTTGGTAGATGAGTATGTGATTCTCATCAGCGGGGAGGTCTAGGTGACAGGCTTTGATCATAATTGCCAGGATAATTCACTTACCAACCCAAGGAGCACTTAATGATCTTAAGCACAAGACTGAAAAACTTAATGTTCAATCCTCTGAGTGCCAGCCTTGATTTTGGGATTAAAATATAGAGTTGAAATTTTCATTCATGCTTTCTCAATTCCTTTAGTATTTCAGGGTCATTGATTTAGGATAAAATAGAACTTTTGTGTAGAGCATGTAACTAATTCTTGTATTGCTGGGGATCCCTACATGTGACTAACAAACAAGGTCTCCTCAGTTGCCCAGAGTGTAATAAGAGTGTCCTCTGAGTTTAAGTTTGACACCCACATGCTAAGAATCAGGTCAGAGGTTGAAAGTGACCTCTGAGAGAGGCAAAAGAGTTGGAGGCGGGCCCTCCCTGGTGGCGCAGCGGGTTAAAGCACTGAACTAAGAAGCTTAAGCCACTTCCCCATGAGTTCGATCCCCGCCTGCCCCGGAGGTGACCACATGGCATGGCAGATCTCTCCTGACCTGCCTGCTGCTCCCCTCAGCAGTGTACTTCGTCGATCTGCCTGTTCTGCTCCCCACTCTGTCTCTGGTGAATCCTCTCACCCTCCGCATCTCTGGCCTGTACCCCAGTTCTGTATGAATAAATAAATCTTTAAAAAAAAAAAGAGTTGGAAGCCTGAAGAACTTCTTTGCATATTGATGGATGATTTCAATATTTCCATGAAGGAGTATGTCTGTGGCCTACCATGGGGACAGTGTTAAGAGACCCACAGTCTTCAGTGCAAGTGTGTATGTTTTTGAAGCAACTCATGAGCTAAGTAACATCTCAGCTGGGGTGACCCTGGTCTCGGTGCTCTCATATTTCGTTGCTGAGCCTGGAGGTCTGACCCCAGAGCCTGCTCTGTGGTAAATGTGCTGGCATGAGCAGCGTAAGGCCTTCCAGGCTGGAGAAAGTCTTAGGCATTCAATATTTGAAACCTAGCCAAGGATGACTTCTCGGTAGGGAGGCAAACCACCCTCCCTGACTGTTGCTCCTGACTGACGTATTGGGATTCTAGTCATATTATTGACAGGCTGAAGGAATGGGAGATCTGTTTTCACAGATGAAGACAACCAGTGGCATAAAAAATGATGGTTTTGTCTGTGCGTTTCATCTGCTTGTCTTATTTAGTGAGAATAAGCCAATATTGTACTTTGCCTGTGTTTAAGTGGTAGAATGGAAATACTTTGAAGGTAATAAACTTGAATTCTTACCTCCCATTCTTCTATTTTTTCACTGGTGATAAAAATCCAATTCTTGCACTCTTCTTGTAATGCCGTCAGTTTTGTCAAGACTTCCTGGAGCTCTTCCTAATGGGAATAATTGAGTGAATACCAGCTACTCAATTTAGCAATTATTTATTTGGTACCTATGTGGAGTCCACCCCCCACCCTGCAAGACTATCACAATACACTATTTACTGTGTCCTTATACTGTGATAGGAAGTATGCTGCAGGCTGTCCATGAAGGTAGCAATTTAACCCTCTTGGTAGCTCTGAGCAGTTGAGAGGCTTTTAGCATCGTGCACGCTTGTAGAACCTGAGACACAGGAAGGTGTTAAATAACCCAAGAAAAGGCTATCTTGCTTAGTGGGTGACAGAGCTGTGATTGTAAGCTCGTTTGCTGACCCAAAGCCTGAGCTACATTCTCACTTTCAGTCTTGTCCTGGGTATACTACATATCAAATAGGATAATAATTATGTAAAATAAGGTATATGTTGTACTGAACCACACATAACCAATGACAAGGGATTAACACTCATGGACCTTTGTACAAAGTATGGGGAGTCAGGAAAGAAAAGACCTCAAGCCAGCATATGTTATTAGAAATGTTATGGAGGGAGAACATTTTATTTTTCAAATTTATTTTGGATAGAATAAATTTACTTTCACATAGAAGAACTTCTGCATAGGCAAGAAGTGTGGGGTTGCGAGGATTCACTACAGACAGAACTTTGGTGACCCAAACTGGCAGATTTATTGAAATACACTGCTAAAGGGAATTTGGGAATGTAGGAGAGGTCTGCTGTGCTGTATGTGGGTTAGTTCCCTGGCTGGGGATTGAATTCATGACATAGCAGTGATAGTGCTGAGACTTAACCTATAGGCCACCAAGGAGATCCACAAGTTCAGGTTTAAGACTAAATAACCTGAGATATCAGGGAGCAACACAAAAGGGGTACTTGCTGAAGTCCTCTGCTCAGGCTCCCTCACCTTGTACCCTGGATATACATCTTCAACAGGAGCTATGCTGTGCCCTCTATGCTGGGGGGACTGTTTACAGCTCCAGCAAATGGGGTGCCCATCATCCTCACAGAATAGGTGGAGGGGGTTTCCATGCTCCTCACACAACGTGGTGATGTATTCAAGGAGTCTTTCCACATGCTTATTGCTACAGATGCTTTCCCTTGAAAATGGAGATTCACACTGGGGGCAGTAGAACCACCCCAGCCATGAGTTGATAGAGTGCTGGCTTTGAAGGTTGTCCTCTATGCACTGGTGACAGAAGCTGTGTCCACAGTCGATGCTCACGGGTTTCCTCATAAGCTGCTGGCAGATGGAGCATGTGGTATCCTCCCTCAATTTTTTGGTAGCTGAGGCTAAGACCATAACTTTTCCTGAGAAGCTCCAATTTTGTATCTAAAGGTGAAAAGAAGCAGTCAGAATTTTTCACAGTGAAAATATATCTTATTAAAGAGGTTTTGTCCTGAAGGTCTTGAAGAAGGCCCTCTGGGGAAAAGAATTGGTATTTCGAAGAGATAACACATAGAGGTATTGTGGTATAGGGTGATCGCTATAGTAATGGCTACTTCATTATTATATTTAGTCAAAGTTAAATAAATTTAGAATCCAGTCTCTCAGTTCCCATGAGCACATTCAATTGCAGGTGTTCTGTGTGTGGCTGTGGGCCCATGGGCCCCAGAAACAGGACAGCCCAGTACTGCTGGGCAGAATGTCCGTGGAGCCAGCAAGCACCAGCAGAAATGGAGGTGAAAGACAGGCTGTCTCATAAAAGTGGCAGCAAGAGAATGAGAACTCAGTTTGGAAATGTGAAACTCTTCCCACAATAATGAACACCAAGAATATTTAGCACTAAATAATCGGACTGTTGGAAAAGTCATGATGTATTTTTCTGTTTTCTATGAAAAATGCATCATGGCTTTTCTGACAACCCAACATTTCTCTGTAAGTGGTAGAACACTTACTTATAGATTAGTGGGCAGTCTATAAAGGGATCCATTGAGACAATCATGTTTAACTCCACTCCAACCCACACCCCTGTCTCTCTCTACAGATTCCCATATCCAAAGGACATAAAACATAAATTCTCCGTGATAAAGTCTGCAGGGAAATCAAAAGAAGCCTCTTCCTGTCATCTTCCCTGGTCAAGGGAGAGATTTGGCTTGAGCTTGGCAGAGAAGGGATCAGTGGGAAGAGAGTTTGGAGACCTAGGAAGTGTATCCTGGGAGGAGTTCAGGGGGACTAGGACCACAGGAGTTTGCAGTACCCAGGATGTGGGATCCTGAGTGCTGAAGCCCCAGGGGCCCACCAGTGAGGAGCCAAACACAGAGGTGCCACGAGTGGGAGCAAAGGGGTCTGTCCTTCTCCCACTGCTGAGCTGCTGAGGGAACCCCACTTTCACTGCTGGGAGTTTGTGAGGAGGAACGATGAGGCAGGGAGAGGTTTAGAATGAGCTCTCCTTTGGCTTGACTGTGCTAGAGAACTAAAACCACCATTCAACCAGTTAGTGGATAGACAATTCCCTCCAATTATCAGGATGAGCCCTCAGGGTCACTGGGAACTTCATTAGATTCTTGTATTCCTGGCAGGTCATTTCCCCCCAAGGGAAGAACTGGCTCCTTTCTGTCAGTGGGCTGTACTCCCTGGGAGAAAGGCTTCCCCACCTCTAATGCTTAGGGATTTATCCTTCCCTTTCACTCACCTCAGATCCTGGATCTTCTGAGAGGTACTGTGGATTCTGGTGAAAGGGAAAGAAAATGCAATCAGGGAAGGAGAGCTAAGAAGCAAAGTCCTGACCATTTGGGGAGCCCAAGGGGGCTCCCCTCACTGCCACCATCACCACCACCCTTCAATTACTCATCAGCAGTCACAGCCCTCCTCTGAGCAAACCTTGGCCTGGACCCCTCGCTATGTTCGCCACACAGCAGATCATCAATTATTGGCTGCCAGCTCCTGAGTCAGGACAAGGAGTTAACTCTGACTGGATTTGTATCAGAAACAAAACTACTATCAGTTGAGGGTTCAGAACAATCAAAGGAAAGTTGAGAATGTGTGTTTACACTCTTGTACCACAAGAGCGAGGACTTTGTGTGCTCTCTCCTCCATTATGTGTTATTCTACCTACTTCCATCCCACCCTAAGACCAGTAGCAGGAGAAGGATGTGCACTCTTGACCATCTCTAGCCAACTGTGTTTTGAGGTTCAAATTACAGAAATGAAGCACAAATAAATAGAGGGGATCAAGACTGGAAAAAAAGTACAACTCTATTTTCAGATAAAAAATTGTGTATGAAGAAATTCTTGAGGGAGTAATGTAGAAAGAGTTTTACAATTAAAAACTGAGTTCAGTGGATTGCAGGATATAAGGTCAATATACAAAATCCAACCATCAACCTACACCCTAGAATGAACAACTTGAAAATGACATTAAGGAAGCGATAATTTATAATACTTAAAAAACCCTAACATATTAAAATGAACAAGAACAGCACAAGACTTGTACACCACTAAAGCCTACAAAACTTCAGAAAAAATTAAGTTGACCTAAATAATTGGAAAGACATTCCATGTTCACAATTTGGATTACTTAATACTCCTTCCAAATGTAGACTCAGGGCACTCACTGTCGTCATTCTCATTGTTTTGATTTTTGTATTTTGTCATATTTGCACAAATTGGCAAGTTAAATCTAAAATTCAGCTGGAAATATGAGGAACACAGAGTAGCCAAAAGCATCTTTGAAAAGATCAGGGTCCCACATGTTTTCTTCACATGTCGACAGGGCAGAGGAGGGAGAAATCCTGTTCTTCATTCCTCCATGGCTAAGGGCTGCCTTACTTACCGGCTCTTCAGTGAGAAACTTAGGAGGTGCCTGAAACCTCTCTCAAGGCTTCGTCCCACACACCAATTATTTTTAAATCCTTTGATGTCCCTTCCCAACTTTTGCTAAAGCCTGTTTCCAGCTCTTCTTCTGGGAGGATTAACCTTGAGTTCACTCCACATATTAAATCCCAGCTGTGCACCAGAAGTAGACTCTGAGTGATACTAAGGCTCTTTCCCTGCCCTCACCTGCTTTTCCCATCATAAACCCCCTGACTGGGTGCTAGAGAGTCAGGAAAACTCCCTTGCTCATGACAGGTGGTCCCTGAGTGGAATCCTGTCTTTTCTCCACTTCTTCACATGGTTGATCGTCTTTATCACTCAGGACTTCCTACTGAGAAGTCTCCCCCCCACACACATTTCCACCTCTTGGGGCTCCCCCTCACCACACACACCAAGGATGTCAGCAGTATCAGCATCCTGTGTTCCTTTTCTTACCCCTTGTAGACTGTAGGGAATCTAAAAGATGGGGGTTCTGACCTCGGGGATTTCAGATTCTTTCCTGTGCTTCTTGCATATTATGGTGTCTTTAATTATCTATGCGAGGGGAGGCTACGAATGAGGCCGGGGTGGCAAAGAGCACAATGTACTGTGCAGGAAAAATTCATTACAGGAAAAGGTTCTGACCATCCCTGAAGGTCAAGTTGGGCAGTCACTGATTCAATGTGGACATGTAATAAACAATCTCTTTTAAAAAATGCCATGATATTACTGCTTAATATTAGGATCAGATAATAGTTTTTACTGCAACCCATTTCAATAAAATGCAGTTTGAGAGGCAGTCCTTGCTAGAGACTCTGACCACACACTCACCCTGTCGCCTGGACATATGTCTTTCACAAGCGCCGTGTTGTGTCCTCTGTGCCGGGGGGACCGCTCACAGTGCCAGCAGATGAGCTGCCCGTCGTCCTCACAGAACAGGTGCAGCTGCTCCCCATGCTCCTCACACAGCCTCTCCTGCTCCAGCTCTCGGATGCTCTCAATGAGGTTCTCCAGCTGCCTGTTGGGCCGGAGACTCTGCCTTCGGAATGGTGTCCGACACAGGGGGCAGGGGAAATTCTCCTGGGATGATGTCATAGGATCACAGTTTTCCAGGATGTCCTCTATGCACCTACGGCAGAAGCTGTGCCCACAGTTGATGCTCAAGGGGTCTGTCATCAGCTCCAGGCAGATGGAACATGTGGCTTCCTCCCTCATCTTCGTGGTAGCTGTGGCTGAGGCCATGGCTCTTCCTGAAAAGCTCTAGTGTCACAACCAGAGTAACAGGTGAAGCAGCCCAAATTGTCCACAGTGATGGAAACCTGGCCTGAGCCTACCCCTGCACAGGTCTTGAAGTCTTCTCTCTGGGTTAGATTTTAGCAACTATATGACATAGAGGTTTTAAAATAAGTTAGGCATCATCATATATAACTACTTAATTATAAGTAACATTTAAATATCAGTTCATTCGCTGCACTAGCCATCTATCAATTGTGAAATAGCTTCATGGGGAGGTGGCTACAGGGTGGCCCTGATATAGAACATTCCAGCATAGGAGAACGTCTTCTTGGGCCAGGCACTAAGAAGAAGTCAGAAGGTCTTGCTTAATAATGTTGCAGCAAGAGACGCAGAACTCAGTAAGGAAGTATGAAATTCTTTCTCTAATGAACTTCAGGAACAGTTAGTACCTGAGCTATTTCTTGGTAAAATGCAGTAAACAGTTAGGTAACTGGGTGGTGTATGAAGGATTCCATTGAGCCAATCACATTTGACACTACTCAAACCCACACTCAGTCTCTGTACTATCCTCCATCTCCACAGAAGAAAATACACCAGGTTCATAACGTCAGTGCAGCATCATAATTGGGTTTTTAGGTTGCATAATGTCAGATGTTAGGAAGCAAGGTGATATGAAATGTGATAATGAAAATCAATCAGGAACCAGAAAGAAGCTGTTTGTCCTCTCTGTCAATCTCCTCCTTTGAGGGAAAGTGAACTGGAGGGCAGAGAAGAAGTTGGTTTAGGGGAACAAACCCCATTTAATGATTGTCTTGTTAAAAGACGCTTAACAGAAAGCCAAAACATTTGTTTTGCGAGCCTGACTGCCCTTTTGCCTTCCGGGGTTTAGAGCCTGTCGACTTAAGACAAATGTTCAGAGCCTGTTGACTTAAGACAAATGTTTAACACGCCTACCAAGAATGTGCTTATCAGTTCCTGGAGTTAGGGGGGTGGGTGGTCTTAATAGAAAACACAGAGGGAGCATTCCGCTAGGGGAAGGGCATTGTAAAATGTATAAAAACTACTGCCTGTGAACAATCGGCGCTCTCAGTCTTAAGTACTGCTGAGCCCTGGCATGTCGGTTTCTGAATAAACCTGCCTCTGCTGGATTTCAGTGTCTCTGTCCTCGTCCTTTCTGCGTTTCCTCGGAGATTGGAATTCTGGACTCAACAGTCTCTTTTCAACGAAGACCTGTCTCCCAGGAGAAATTCAGGGATATTGGAACCCAGGGGGTTTGCAGAACCAGGATGGGGGGGGGATGGGATTTGGGCAGAAGATGGGGCCTCTGTGGGGGGGTCATGGGTGCTGGACCCCTGGTCCAGCAGTGACCTACCTGGAGCACACAGAGATGGGGAGGAGTAAGAGAGAGCTGGTCTGCCCTTTCCACCGCAGCTGCTGCTTGGGCAACCTCATCCTGCTCCCCCTTCCCAGAGCTGGTAACTTGTGAGGAAGTGGGGGGACCTTTAGAGTGACCTTTCCTTGGAACCTACAGTGTTAGAACTGAAAACAGGGACTCAACAAAAGTTACTGGATGAATTATTTCCCTGTAACAATGAGTTTGAATCCTGAGTACAGAAAATTTTTCTGGACCTTGCTATTTTTGGCAGATTATGTTCTTCCTAGGGAAACATTAGGGCCCTCTCCACCAGGGATCCCGTGCTCCTGGGGAGACTGACTCTTCCTCCTCTGAGCCTGAGAACTTCAACAAACTTTTATAGCAAGTACAGAACAAAACACTCTGCTGCTACTGGGTGTCTGTCCCGGGCTCCCCCTCACCTCATAATGTGGATCTGAGTTGCAGAAAGGAGTCTGCGAAAGAGAAAGCGAAAGCAGGTAAGGGGCAAGAGCTAGAAAGTAAAATCCCCAGGGTTTGTAGGATTCCGGCGACCCCCACAGTGCCCACCCTCACAGGCAGACATTCTAGCCCGCTGCCCAGCATACCTTGGCTGGCACCTCTCACTGCGTTCGCCTCAGAGCAGTTCACCACGGTCTGTGGTGGTCCCCTCCGTAGCTGCCACGTCTGAGATCTAGACAGGAAGTGAACTCTGACTGTGCTAACCTCAGAAACGAAACTACCATGGGTCAGATTCCTGTGCAGCTGGGAGGAAGCTGCTGCATGTTTCTTCCACTATTGTGGGTCCACTCAGCTTTGCAGGCTCTACAGTGTGGTGGAGATGTGTGTTGTGTGTGTGCCGTGGGGGTGGGATATCTCTTGCATGTTAGAACAAACAATTCACCTGTGAACTTCCTTGCTGTTCTGTTTGAGGTCCAAGCATGCACTTCTTTGCAATGAGCCCAGGAGCTCATCAACACCCGTCCATGTGATGTTTACTTTCCCACCCCCTCCTTCTTCAGGATCTCCCTGCTAGTTTGAGCTTATTGAGGATTTCCTTTTAGAACTCGTTTGACAGCCAAATAGGATGTTATTTGCTGCACACTGCTATACATTTGTCCGTGATAAATTGGTGGGAATACAGAGAGAGTAAAAATGTGAGACCACTGTTCTCCTGGCAAGAGAAGAAGCTTCCCGTCATTTAGAGTTTTGAGTTTAGTATGGCTGAAAGAATGGGGTGGGAGAGAATAAAAGAAAAGGTAAACTAGAAGGCTTTACCTCCACTCTGTGTGGTAGAGGACCCCTTCCCCTGTGCTTGGACCAGACCTAGAAGGCTCCTTCTAGACCTGGCTTTGTTCTCTGTGCCCACGGTTAGACGTGACCTGCCTGAGCTGCACGTCTGGGAACACTGATGAGAGATGAAGGACTAACTCACTCCAGCTAAGTTGTACTTCAGATTCTCTTCATCTTCCTCTCTGTCTGCTACCATGTACATTTTAGAGTCCTCACTGTCTGCTCTGTGCATTATTGCCAACTGTAGACAACAAAAGCACAGTACAGAGAATGCTTATTTAACCAAAACTCTTGCTGTATTTAGGTTGTTTCCATCTTTTGACAATGGATCAGAAAGGTGTGGCATATATATACACAATGGAATACTACTCAGCAACCAAAAAGATAATCTCATGCCATTTACAGCAATATGAATGGAACTGGAAGGGATTACGCTCAGTGAAATAAATCATAAGGAAAAAATAAATATTACATGGTTTCAATTATAGGAAGAACATAGAGAAATGAAACAAAGGGTCAGAAAAAAGATGCAGACCCCAGATGTGAGGCACAAAGCAAGGAAGGGACAGGAAGAAAGATCAAAGGGGAGAGCACCAGTGACTGGTGATGGATCACGGGTGCTGTGGCAGAGGAGAACTACAGGGACTACACTCCAATACTGTCCAAAAATTAACAACAATGTAAGAAAAGCCCTAAACTTAAAAAAAAAAAAAAACAACCCTTTCAGAATAGCTTTAAGGCAGAAGTGAGTAAGTAATAGATATTTTCATAAGCTGAAAAAAATTAGTGAAACAAGTATTTTAATTTTGAAAATATTGAAGAGAGAAGAATATGAAACTTTTCAATCACAAAGCAACAATCAGTGGAGGAGGGAATTAACTTAGAAAAACATAAAACAGAGGCCCTCCCTGGTGTGCAACAGGTAAGGACGCAGCACTGCAAGCTACTCGCCGCTGCTTCAGTGCAAGTTCCATCCCAGGCCCTGGCGATGATCCAGATGGCGCGGCAGACCTCTCCTGACCCACCTACAGCTCCCCTCAGCAGTGTACTTCATCAGTCTGCCTGTTCTGCTCCCCACTCCCCAGGCCTGCTGGGCCCTGGCATACAGAGGAAGGAGGCAGACTGTCTCTGTGAAGACTGGGAGGAGAGGCAGCTCACTCTTGAAGTCTGTGATTGATATTAGACACCCTCGCTCATGAGTAGTAAGTGTGTATTGCTGCTGCGAAATGAATTACAAACAAATTAGAGGTTTGAAACAAGCACATTTATTATAACTGGGTGAGAAGTTTAAACATGACTAAGCTGAGTTCTCTGCTTCAGGCTTTCAGCTGGCCACATTCAGGTGTTGTCTGGGTCTCATCACAACTTTGGCTGGGGAAATACCCATTATCAAGTTCCCGATTATTGGCAGAACTGTTTCCTTGCAGCTGCAGAATGGAAGTTTTTTAGTTTTGGTGGAGGCTGTCATGGTCCTTAGAGGCAGCCCAAAGTTCCTGGCCAGGTGAAGGTTCCCCACTCTAAGTACTTGTTGAGAAGGGACATTTTTGGATGTAACAGGCAAAGTGAGGGGTACTCTGGGACCCTCAAGTCTGTCTGCTTTAGATAGTTTCTGCTGCATCAAAACAAAAATCTCTAGTGATAAGACATTCAATAAAAAGAAATTTCATACAATTAGAGTGCAATACAGAGACAAGAAAGAGAATTGATACCAAATGAAAAGCTCAGAGTTACCCTTCCCTTTGAGGGCAAATGCCCAGTCTGTCAGGGCTGGTCCAAAGGATGGCTGCTGAGACCCAAAAGCTTGCCACATCTAACGACCCCACTGGTGGGGATTTATAGGAAAGGGGAAGAGAAGGCCAAGCAAGTCTGGACAGAAAAGAACAAAACCAAGATACAGTCTGCCATTGTCAACCTCCCACGAGTCTTGCCTCCATGTCTGTTTCAAGTGTCTCCTTCCATGGCCCCCAAGTCCTGGTGCAAATCCAGATCCCAGAAGCAAGCATGACTCTTCATGTCTTTCTGCTTCAGGTGTCTCTTCCAGTCTTCTTGGCCTTGCTTCAGTCTTCTTCCTCTTTCTCAGTCCTGCTCCCAGTCTAGCTTCACCTCTCTGTCCAGCTCCACCCTTCCTTAGGGTGGGCCAGGGGACCTGGAATATCCCCTCCCCCCAGGGATTACCCAGTTGTGAAAGAATATGGGATTTAGTGTTAATTTTATCAAGGTTTATTATGTAGATCCCTGTAGTGCCTCTCTAAGCTTGTAAGAATCTAGAGTTGTATCAGGTGATTAGCTTCAGTCCTTCTGATAGAGACAGGATGGGAGGATACCCATATATATCAGTGTTATCTTTTACACAATGTGGTGGTGGGGAGGGAAGGCAGAGAATTTTCCTTGCAACTGTTTGTTCTCAATTGTCTTCAGCTCAAACTAATTCAAGTGTGAAGGTGACATATTTAGGGGTTATATACTCTGTTTTCCTTCATTCTCTAGTTACAACCCAGCTTCTATCAGCATTAGCAGAATTTCTCATGCTGGGGAGCATCAGAATGATGATGGGTAACAGTCTCAGCTCCTCTATTTCTTCCTCTGAGCAGAAATGGAGGCTGACTCTGCCTCCAACATCCTAAAGCAATTCTTAATCTTCATCTCTCCTGTGAATGGAGAGATGATATTTGAAACATTTATTATTTTATCAACAGAAATTATCATGACATCTAGCAGTTTAGCAACTTTTTTGGTCAGCTCTGTTCTTCATTCTTTGGATGACTTCACCATGATAAGTTCTTGGCCAACTCATGTAAGATAACTTAGAGTTGAAATGGAGTGTGCACTTTTCAAAAAAAAAAAAGAAGAAGAAGAAAAAGATATGTACTTTTCAAATAAATCTGGGTCTATTTAAAATGTATTTGGTCATAGCTCAGTCATAGTAAAAACTGTATTTACTGAGATTTTAACATTATCTCATGATAGCTGATACCATACATCCTGAACGATAAAGACTTTTTTTCCCCAGCACTGAGGCCCCCACCAGAATTCATTGCTATCCTCTCATCTCCAACCATTGGAAGTATCTCTGCTAATGGTAACTCTTCTCTCACACTTTAGCGGCTATCGCCTAGCAGACTCCTTGGGCCATGTGATCCTGGATGATGTCATCCTGGGCTCCACTTTGATTACTAATCATTATGTTAGAGATTAAATAGTCGCGTCCATTTTGATTGTCTTGCTCTTTTGTGCAGATGACAGAGTCAAGAGCAGCTTCCCCTCACCCCATGAATGACTTCAAATATCAAACAAACTGGGAGAACTCAGAGACCTCTAGACTTCCTGCCACCCTACTAGCTAACCAGGTCTCTTGGAAATCAAACATCTGAAACTGTTGAGGAGGGGTGGAGAGAAGAAAGTAAAATTATTGCTAGTATTTTGCTGTTATCAATCTCAGTTGATCTCGTGGTGTTTTAGAGTTTTATATCCATCATTCAGTGCAGATGTATTACATGTCCAATTAGGAGTCAGCAACCCTCAAGGTACAAGAAATAGCAGGGAAGAAAACAGCCTGCCTCTCTGCCTCCAGGGGTTTATATTTTAGTCTCTATGCCAGATAAAGTAAGGAGGCTTTGCCTTACTTTAATTCTTTGGGGCAGGCAGGAATAAAGGAGAACCTTGATAAACCCTGAAAAAGGGTCGGAGAATATCAGAGAAGGAGGCCTTCGGGAAGGTGAAGATGTGGGAGCCAGTTGTCATGTTGTAAAAGGACACAAGTCCAGCTTCATAGTCCAGAGAAACTCCTACCACCTGGAGCTGTTCCCTCAGAGGAAGGGAAGTGTGAGGGTTTGTAAGGGCGACATAGTAGTTAAATATGCACCGTCGGATGGCCCAGAACCCAGACTGAGGCTCCACCATCATTTCCACATTCCTGGGCACATTTCCCAGACACACTCCTAAATCCCACCCAGTTCCTTCTCCTACATCCACCTCAAAATAATGTCTCCCTGAGACGAAGCCCTCACAGCCCAGGACACAGGGCAACACACTAAATCTCCAGGCACTGTTAAGCTTCCTCTGGGGACTTCCACGGTCCACTTGTCTCCGATCCTCAGACAGAATGAGTTTAGGATGAGCTGTGGCCGGATCCAGGGTCACGTTGGCTGGAGAAAAAACAGATTTGTTTTTGAGTATTGAAACAGAATTAAAGTAAGTGTATGTTCCAATGCAAACTTTATTTTTTATTATCTGTGTGATAATATCTTATTATCTATATCTCTTAACTTATAACTTGTTTCCTAATATCTTATTTATTACTTTTATCATTTTTGATCTTTGTTTTGTAAAAGAAAAAATAGAAATCATCCTGTCACAAAGAATGGTGGGGAAGACTGAGTAAGCTAATGTATGCTCAGTGCTAGGTGAAGTTTCTAGAATATGGTAAGTAACCAATAAGTGGTATAAATAATAATAATAATAATTTCATTAAAATCAACATCACCACCACCGCCACCTCAGACATTCTGGGCCAGAAGTAACCAGAGTTGACATGTTTGTTCATGGTCTTCTCCAAAGCTCTTTCCCCTAAAGATTTATATTTTATTCTCTATGCTAGTTAATTGAAAACATGGATGAAATGAATGATTTTCTAGGAAGTCATTCTTAGTCAAACTGACAAAAAATTAAAGTCATTGAAGAATGACTTTAAACTCTACTCACAGATAATAAAACATGCATATAAGTCATGCAAAAACAGAATTTACCATTTTCTCAAGAAATCCTACCAGTCAACAGATACATAAGGCAATCTCAAACCAAAGCCCAGAAAATTATGAGACCTCATGAGCACACAGATACAAAATCTTGTACAAGATAGCCGAACATACCAAATTAAACTTTATAGCTATATATACATATATTACAGACATAATATCCTTTGATCAATCACCTCGGATCAACAGGGCTATGTGTCTATATTATATGTGTATATGCATTATATGTTTGACATTAATTTATTAAGAAATTATATTTATATATATATATATCTATTATGGATACATTATTATCCAACTATATATATTTTGCAATATATAAATAAAAAGCCAAGTCTGTATATATAATGTCATATATGATACCTAATACATTACTTCAAATCATATGATCTAAACATACATATGTCAAAAATTGGGCTCTCTCTGGTGGCGCAACGAGTTAAAGCACTGCATTATGAAGCTCTCAGAAGCCACTGCAGCATGAGTTCAATCCCTGGCGTACCCGGAGCTGACCCACATGGTGCGGCAGACCTCTTCTGACCCATCTGCTGCTCCCTTCAGCAGTATACTTTGTCAGTCTGCCTGTTCTGCTCCCCACTCTGTCTCTGGTGAACCCTCTCACCCACCACACCTCTGGCCGGTACCCCAGCTTTGTAAGCATAAATAAATCTTTAAAAAAAATTACTATGTATAAAGTATATACAAAATAGTATTATATACATAATACCCTATGACTAATATATATTTTTTAAAGGTTTATTTATTCATATGGAACTGGGGTACAGGCTAGAGATGTGGAGGGTGAGAGAATTCACCAGAGACAGAGAGGGGAGCAGAACGGGCAGAGCGACGAGGTACACTGCTGAGGGGAGCAGCGGGCGGGTCAGGAGAGGTCTGCTTCGCCATGTGGTCTCCTCCAGGGCAGGCGGGAATCGAGCTCATGCGGAAGTGGCTTTAGCTTCTTAGTGCTGTGCTTTGACCCGCTGCGCCACCAAGGAGGGCCCTATGACTAATATTTTTTATATTTATGAATATGGTTATTCTCCTCTATTATGATAATGTATTTAAATATTATCTAATCTGATTGTGTATCTAATCTGGTATATATGAAATATATTATGTATATAAAAATATATACATAGTACTACATCAGCTAGTATATTTAATCTAATATATGTGCACAAACACATGTACACATGTGTGTATATATTTATCTATACATACTGAGAGAGAGAGTAAAAAACTGGAATGGTTTCATTATCAGCTAGAGGAACTAGGAGTCAAAGTGTGGAGTCAACAGGCAATGCTGTCGTCAGAGGGTGGTAAAGTATTGGCTATAGAGATAAGGAAGGTGCCTACAGAGACTCATGAAACAAGAAAGTTGCACTCCCGTTAATGTGAGCACATTGAGGTGTATGCAGCCTCTCCCCACTTACTTAACACCTATTTTAATCATCATACCAGTGATGCTCATAAAACCATCAGAGTGTAGATGGGAGTTATTTTCTTCACTATTTTCTAATATCAGGACTCCTGTTCAGCAAATAGGCTATTTGTTATCCACTAGCTAATCAACCCTAAACTGGCAACAGCATTGCAGTGTAATTATGATTTTCATGACACCTTAATATTTTGATATAAAATCTATTTACAACAGACAATATCTATAAATTTGGCTCTCAGTGAGCTTGCATTTATGGCTTAACATAGAAATTAAATTTACAGAGTCACCACATATCAGTTTAGAGAGAAAGTTCATGATCTTATCAATCAAGGCAACTAATTCATTAATATATCTAATGCCCACTGATATGTGATTTTTTTGAAATGTAATCATAGACATAGAAAGAAAATTAGACACACAGTATGTTTTAGCCACTAGGCAGAACAGTCAAGGGAGGCTTTGCATGGTGCCTCCTTCCCGGTGTTCATACCCTTGTACAATTTATTTTATTTGAGTGTGGGCAGGAATTGAAAATTATTTCTGATCAATCACCTCTGACCAAGAGGGCAAAAATAATGGGATGCAATCCTAGAATTATATTCCCTTACATAAGACTCCATCTTGTAGCAGATTTGTTCTGGAGACTTTCTCCTCAGCTCTCTGTAAGAAATAATTGGCCATGTTGAAGGCTCTGGGCCAAATTGCTGAGGTGTGGCTTCTAGAAGCTGCAGGCAGTTTCCAACTATGAACCAGTAAAAGGCCAGCAAATGAAATCTGAGAAAGAAATGAATTCTACCAAGTAGAATAAGTTTGGAAGAGAATTATCCCCCAACCTAGCAACTAGAAGAAAACATGGCCCACCCAACAGCTTAATTGCAGCTTTGTGACAGTCTCAGCATAGGACCCATCTGAACTGTGCCCGTATTTCTGACACACAAAGTGAGATATTAAGTGTGAATTATTTCAAGCACATAAATAATTGTGCCAAATCATTTCAGAAAAGGTCTGTCTTTACAGTCAAATGAGTTAGGACAAGCCTTTCATTTTCCAGTATTTTGAACAGTTTTACTGAGGATAATCCATCTGGGAAATATAACAAACCCTAAGAGAGTCAGGAGACAGAAAACTCAGAATTGGCAACTGGTAAAACCTGATTTTCATTATGATTCTTAAATTATTGTCTTATCTGTATCAAGGCTCTAAAACTATTTGCACCACAGCCCATAACCCCTGTGTTTTCTGAACAGTTTACACCATATGATGCATTTAATTTTTATAACAACACGCTGAAGTAGGAACTGTTAATATTTTCACTTCTCAGATGGGCAGCTGAGAGGATTACTTGCCTGGTAAACAGAAGAGCAGGTATGTGAAGAGTTGTACCCTGCATCCCTGTCTAAGCCATGGGCCATCCTGCCACGGGAGAGTATGGCCGCTCCATGAAAGAACTAAACAACCTCTGTCAGTGAGTCTGTCCAGGGACAGGTGTCCCCATCATCTCTGGTTTTGAGCGAATAGTTGACTTCTCCTACCTTGGTAGCTTCTTAATATTTTCTTCACGTCAAGGTAAAGCTCAGAAACATTGCACACAGTTTGAGGTTCCAAAGAGAGGACCTTTGACATTTTCAGCTTAACAGATGAACTCCTAGAAGGAGCAGAGACTGCTTTAATGGACATTCTTTTCCGTTCTTACATCCAAAACACTTCCCTCCTGAGTTCAAACAGCACTTACCGGCTTAAGGTGTCTTTCACATCCTACAGAGGAACAAAGGCAGAAAGTGAGTATGGGGCATCAGCATTTCATGGGGTTTGGCATGTGGGCTCGTAGCCGCTGCACCAGAAATGTAAAGAGAGTGACTCTGCCTTAGATATTGATGGATCCCCAAGTAGAATGATCCCCTCAGATATTCAGCACTACGGCAGATTTATCAGCCTCTGAGTCTGCCCTTTTTCTGCTGGGACCTGTGTGAAATTTTAGTGTCTGTTACACTTAACTTAAACCTGTGGTTGCTGGGAAAACAAGGCCAGGAGATTCCCAGTGCTCCCTTTTAGCAAGATTTGCTTGTAATGATCTAATTTCCTTCAGAGGAGCCCATGTTAGAAACCTCATATTCCAGAGGTCCTTCATGGTAAATCCAGACAGAGTCCCTCAGATGTCACCACTCTGGTGGTGACAGCAGTTGCCACCTGTGGTGGAGGTGTCATGCCACATTCTCACTCTCACAGTGTGACCTCTGGTTCATAGCAGGAGCTAGAATAACTACCTCCAGGCATTTATCTCAATGGGGTGGGTTCTTCATGCAGCTGAAAGAAGGCTGAGTAAAATCTCTTGGAAAAGGGAAAAATTATTCACATTGGCTGCCCCATTTTATACCCACCTGTCATCATTCAAAAGACAATTTGACAGCTAGTGTTCTGGGAACATGTGACAGACACAAATAAATGGCAGCACACAATATCCCATTATCCATATGGCCAAAACTGTACTTCTACCTAGGAGTTTGTGTCCCTGATTGATGTAGTCACATTACAGTGGATTCACCTGGTAGCAAAACTGTGTATGTTAAAGGAAACATGGCTTTAATTTCCCCACACTACAGAGCGCTTTTGAATAAGATCGGCCACACCCATGTTCCCACACACCCGTTTTCCCACACACTCGTGTTCCCACACACCCGTTTTCCCACACACCTGTGTTCCCACACACTCGTGTTCCCACACACCTGTGTTCCCACACACTCATGTTCCCACACACCTGTGTTCCCATGCTTCTTCACCATCACATAAGAGCTCAGGAAGAAACCCCTCTTCTACGTCCTCCCAGGCCACAGCCTCACCTGCAGCAAGTTCTGGGCTGAGCTCTGACATTTCTCCTCTAGTTCCAGGATGTGATTCTCGAGTTCAAGACTCTGCTTTTTCAGACTGGCCTCACTGCCCCGCAGTTTCCTCAGTATCTGTTCTCTCTCTGTCTCCAGTTTCCACAGAAAACACTTCTCCTCTTCACGGAGGAAATTGTGGAGATTCTCAAAGTCAGACTGGATTTTTTGTCTCTCAAGTTCTATGTTCTCCTAGAATCGAGAAAATGTGCTGAAAAGGCAGAAACAAACCAAACGTGCATCCGTGCATGAAGCAATAAACACTCGTGGTACAGAGGTACGTGTAGGCGGACCGTAGGCTCCAAGGAGACAGCCACAGCGGGGGATGCATCTCGAAGGCACGGTGTTAAGTGAAGACGGTGAGAAACCAAAGAACTAAACTTGTAACTCTACTTATAAAAGAGTTATGTCGTCAAAAAGTAGAGCAGTGGTGTCCGGGAGTGGGAGGTGAAAACAACGGGAGAACTACTGGTACATGCGTTGAGTTCTGGTTTGGAATGAGGAAAAGTTGGGCAGGTGGATGGTGGAGATGGCTACACAACAATGGGAAAGCTTTTCTGCCACTGAACTGCACAACGGAAAATGTCTCAATTGTCATCGATTTATATTATATTTTACCATATTTATTTTTATTATTTTAGTATGTTAGTATTATTTATCTATACTCTATTTTATTTATGTATATTTTAACATACATGCAAAGTAAGTTTGCTCAGCTAATGACATTATTTTCCTATGAGTCTTTCATTCTGGATCAATACATCAGAAGAAGTATGGGTGAGGTGCTAGGTGATTTTTTAAAAATTATATATTTTTACATCATTCTTCACATTGTACATTTTTTCATCTTGGTGGGCTCATCTGCTAGGTGATTTTTTTTTTTTTATGGAACTAGAGCCAAGATCAAATACCTTATTAGGTATAAAGAAAAGTCCAGTTTTTATTGATATCTAAAAATTTATCTCAGCTTCTGGGGGAATTTTTTGACAGAAGCATGTGGTGAGTATAACCAAACTGGCCTTTAAGACAAGCAGGCTGGTGGGCAAATGCATTCTTCTCTGCCAGAAGAAGAGTTCTGGATGGCAGCTTTAGCACAGTCACACAATTACTCACCCACCAGATCTTAATGTAACATAGACAGAACATGGTCATCTCATGGGACACAGCTTTTATTTGGAAGACACAGAATTGCGATTTCCATTGGTGCTTTCTCAATTCAGGCAGTGTTTCAGGGATTTGATGTGTGCTCGATGGGTCAGTGTTTTCAGATAAAGTGAAACTTTTGTGTAGGAGACTGGGGCAGCTCTAACTCTTGCACTGGTGGACTTTCCCTGTATGTTAGTCACAAAGACCTTCCACTGCCCAAAATCCCAGAAAAAGCATAGTTAAGAGTGTCCTGTGAGAGTTCAAGTTTAATGTCCATACACAAAGGATCAGGGCAGATGTTGAAAGAGACAGAGAAAGGCCTCACCAACCTGTGGTAACTAATGAAAATGGATTCATAGCTTCACAGTATCTGTAAAGATGGGGTCTGATTCTAAGGAGGCTGGTCAGCCATTGAAATGGTCTTGGAGATACACGGTGTGAGGGACATGTGTACATGTTCTTGAAGGAGCTCTATCTTCACCACCAGCCTCATGAGGTTAGTAATAGTATCTCACCTAAAGTAATTTTGCTTTCTAGCTCTGGAAGGCTGAGTGCCAGAACCTGTACTGTGGTAACTGCACTGCAGAGAGAACATTGAGTTCTTCAAACAAGGAAGTTATTAAAATTTTAGTCCTTGGATCTTTGAGGTATTTGTGACTACAAAGAATATGATTACACTTCTCTGCATGAGGTACTGGGTTTCCCAGCGTATTATTACTGTATGGTTGAAAAAACTGGAGATAATTGTGTTAGACTTAGATTTAAAATGCATCAAAACAAACATGGCTTCTTTGAGTCTCATCTATTTGGTGGAGTGAGAAGAAACCATCATTGCTTTGTGGTTAATCATTGTTTATGTCTATGGTCTAAGATGGAAAATAGTTTGATATTAATTCTTACCTCCCATTCAGTTATCTGCTCTCTTGTTAATAGCTTCTGACTCTTACATTGTTCTTGTAGATCTCTCAGTTTTGTCACAGCTTTCTTGAGCTTTTCCTGAAGGAAAAGTTGAGTGAGTAAAATGGATTCAATTTGACAGTTCTCTATTAGGTATCAAAGAGGAATTCCTTCCCTCAAAGACTAAGTAGCTGAGGACATTGTGTCCATGACATACTTGATGCCCTTGAGGAAGATAGAATTTTGAACATCATTTTGCGTTGTGGAAACTGAGGCTTAGGATGTGTGGGATCCCTTCCCCAAGGGGCTGTTCTTGCAGGGGGTTGGGTTGAGACTCTAAGCCCATCCTGTGGCCCAGAGCTTGACTACGTTCACTACTATAGAATTGACAGAGAAGCACTGTGCACAGAGTAAGACAATAATCCATGAAAAGATTTTGGCACTGTTCTTTACATGATAACTGATATGGGTCCTTCAAAACATACTGTTAGGCAGCTGTCCATATAGCAGTCCTTTTCCCCACCACTGAAGCCTAGGGACCCAGGGAGTCTTACTGCTGTTTGGTATCTACTAGACTACAGGGTAACCAAACATGGTGTGTCTTTAGCCCCTGTATTTTCAGATATCGTCACATGGTCTTATTCACTTATTCTTATTCTCAAATTATAGACACAATACAAAGGAATAAAATATACAGGTAAGAGTTTGTTTATATTGCATTCCAAAACAGAAGTTCATCATAGCAAGGGTGGCCATCTGTTGAAGGTTAATATGGGCAGTCAGGACCTGAGTCAAAGCTATTTTGTAGAAAAATGACATGATGAAAATTGTAATTCAGGTTCATAATTGGGCGTTAAGCTTAAATAATGTCAGGTGTCAGGAAGCAACATGATAGAAGACCTAATTGTGGCAGGCTTCTGGCCACTCACTCACCCTGTAGTCTGGACATATGTCTTTCACAAGCGCCGTGTTGTGTCCTCTGTGTCGGGGGGACCGCTCACAGCGCCAGCAGATGAGCTGCCCGTCATCCTCACAGAACAGGTGCAGCTGCTCCCCATGATCCTCACACAGCTTCTCACTCTCCAGCTCCCTGATGCTCTCAATGAGGTTCTCCAGCTGCCTGTTGGGCCGGAGACTCTCCCTTTGGAATGGTGTCTGACACAGGGGGCAGGAGAACTTCTCATGGGATGATGTCACAGATCTTTTCCACCCTAGGATGTCCTCTATGCACCTGCGGCAGAAGCTGTGCCCACAGTTGATGCTCAAGGGGTCTGTCATCAGCTCCAGGCAGATGGAACACGTGGCTTCCTCCCTCATCTTCATGGTAGCTGCGGCTGAGGCCATGGCTCTTCCTGAAAAGCTCTAGTGTCACAACCAGAGTAACAGGTGAAGCAGCCCAAATTGTCCACAGTGATGGAAACCTGGCCTGAGCCTATCCCCATACAGGTCTTGAAGGCTTCGCTCTGGGGGTAGAAGTAGGTTAGATTTTAGCAACTACATGACATAGAGGTTGTTTTAAAATAGGGTGGGCATTATTACTTAAATTTAAATAAATGATGGCCACTTAAATTTAAATAACTAACCATGTATCAACTGCTAAATAGCTTCATGGGGAGGTGGTTACATGGTGGCCCAGGTAATAGTATATTCCAGCATAGTAGAAAGTCTTCTTGGACCAGTCACTAAGGAGAAGTTAGAGGGTCTTATAAAGAGAAGCTGCAGCAAGAGGGAGAGACAAAACTTAGAGAAAAAGCATAAAACTCTCTAATGGGCTTCAAAAATGATTAGTAACCAAGTAATTTCTTTGTAACTGGTAGTAAACAGGTAATTGGGCAGTCTATGAAGGATTCCATTGAGACAATCACAACCCACACCCCCAGTCTCTATCACCTTCCTAGCTCCAAAGTAGAAAATAGAGCAGGCTAATAATAACACAGATCCAGCCAGGATGATGATGAAAATGGCCCAGAAACCAGGGAGAAGCAGTTTGTCCTTTCTGTCCATTTCCATCTGAGTAAAAGAGAACTGAGAGAGCTAGGGAGAGAAGGGATTGGTTTGGGGGAGCAAATCCCATTAAATGATTGTCTCTTTCAATTGGGACTTGTCTCCCAGAAGAAATTCAGGGATATTAGAACTTTGCAGAACCAAAATGGGGTGGTGGGGGGGGGAGATGACAGGAGTTTGTGGGAAGACGGGGCCTCTGTGGGGTCCTGGGTCCCAGGTCCAGCAGTGACCTACCTGACACACAGAGATGGGAGGAGTGACAGAGAGCAGGTTTGCCCTTCCCACCACTGCAGCTGTTTGGGCGACCTGGTCCCACTCCCCACAGCTGGCAACTGGTGAGGAGGGGGGCGGAGGGTTTTGAGTGACCTTTCCTTGGAACCTACAGTGTCAGAACTAACAACAGGATCTAACAAAAGTTACTGGATAGATTATTTGCCTGTAATAATGAGGTTGAATCCTGAGTACAGAAAATTTATTCTGGATCCTGCTATTTTGGGCAGATTATGTTCCTCCTAGCGAAATATTAGGGCCCTTTCCACTAGGGATCCTGTGCTTCTGGGGAGACTGACCCCTCTCCCTCTGAGCCCCCAGAGCGTCTGTCCTGGACTCCCCCTCACCTCACATCCTGGATCTGAGGTGCAGAATGGAGTTTGCAAAAGAGAAAGCAAAAGCAGGCAAGGGGCAAGAGCTAGAGAGTAAAATCCCCAGTGTTTGTAGGATTACGGCGACCCCCACAGTGCCCACCCTCACAGGCAGACATTCTAGCCCTCAGCCCAGTGTACCTTGGCTGGCACCCCTCACTGCATTCGCCTCAGAGCAGAGTGTCCACAGTCTGAGGCTGTCTCCTCCATAGCTGCCACTGTCTGAGATCTGGGCAGGAGGTTAACTCTGACTGGAATAACCTTTGAAGCAAGTTACCGTGGGTCAGATTCCTGTGCAGCTGGGAGGAAGCTGCTGCATAGTCCAAATACTTTGTCCTCAGCTTGTGTTGGAAGTGTGAGGGAACAGAGCAAGCTAGACCTTCTAGATGTGTGTGACAGACTCTATTCTGCATCACACCCCCAAATCAGGAGCATGAAAAAGATGTGGGAGCTGACCATTTTTATTCATTATGCACTGAAAGTTCTGACTGGGAAAATTCAGCAGGAAAAGGCAAAAGGCTCCTTTGGAAGGCATCTCTATATTTGCAGCTCTGGTCGTTTCATTTTTTTATTTGATTGTTCCAAATAGATAATTTTATAAATAGAAAATTTGATGTTTGCCAAACCCCAAAATCTCTAGAGCTTGTTAATGCGTTCATAAAGATTGAAGTGACAGTACAGAGGAAAGGGCGAGGAAAAGGGGTAAATTTACACCACCTGAGGGTGGTCCTGGAGCAGAACAGCCCAGGAGAGGGGGTCATCTGTGGTGTGGAGCCCCAATGCTGTTGTTTACTACACATGCCCACTTCAGGCACTTTAAAAAGCAGGTGATACCCTGGGAAAAGAGGTGCAGTCGTCAGCAGGTAGGATAGAGGATGCAACCGTGGAGAGTAAGTCTGGCTTCAGCTGACGTTCCCAAACCAGAACAGTGGGACCCCAAGCCCCCAAGGAGAGAGTCAGGTGGGTCACACATGGCTCCTCATGGAAGAGGCTAATATTTGCAACCAGAACTTGTGATATTGGAAACATCTTTCATCCCCTCACCTTAGGACAAATGGAGACAGAAAATGAACGTTCACTAAGAGTTTAAGGCATCCTGATGTTCACAACATGAGCAGACAGTGATTCAACACTTACTAGGTATGTATGTATAAGTCATGCCAAGAAACAAACCCACTAACTTCTTTAGCCTTCTTCTCATACTCACGCTCAAGTCACCGAAGCTCAAAACCTCATTACTGATTGTGAACTCCAGTCTCAGTTTGTCAAATAAAGGCACAGAGTTTGAGGAGAAGGTAAGTAATTTAATTTGTCAACAAAATGAGGGGGGCAGCAGACTGTGTCTGAGAAACTGCTGTCCTGCTCTTTGGCAGAGAAGGGTATACACAGTTACAAAGGAGTAGGGGGGGATTGGGTAAGAGTTAGATATCCATCCTTGTGAGGCAGGCATCTGGACATTTTGGGGAAATTCAGGTTGGTGCCAGCTTGCTCTGCTATCACCTGGTGGTCAGAAAATTCAGTGTTATCATCTTGGGGACTTTTTTTCCTTTGGAATGTAAGAAAGCAAGGTTGTTATACCTAGAGGGTAAATAAAGAAATGGGAGAGCTTATCTGGTGGGACAGAAAGAGTGACAAGTTCCTCATTCCTATTTCATTCCTCCCCACCCTGGCTCCCATTCTGTTTTTGTGAGCTTCCATGCCTATGGGATAAAGGGGTGTTATAATCACCTAGTCCCTTCCTGTGAATTTGGCCATCATTGGGGTTTTTAATTATGGAAGTGTTTGGTCGTGGTGCGATAACAATAAGGTCTACAACACATGAGAGTCTCAAATGTAGCAGGGATAACTTTTTCTCTTTTTCAGATGATAACATTTCAAGATTTCAGAAACACCTGGATCACCAGGAAATGTCCATCACGTGCTAAAGTCTATCAAGAGCAAAACCCAGGTAAAGTAGTTAGTATCCATTCCAACTGAAGAAGAGATTACTAAGAAAAGTTTCTGAGACATAATTTTTCTCTGTCCTCACCCCAATTCTGTAAAATAGTAAACTAAATCTAATTTTAAATAATTTTACCTATATTTGCATAAACCCAGAGGGCAGAATAATCAACAAGAATGTTGTTGGCTTTGCTGAACACACTTTAAGGGCCTTAAGTAAGCACTCAAGATCCAGTTCATACAGGCTTCAGAACCAAGGACCATCTTCCCAGACTTCACCTGAAATTTCCTCTTCTCAAGGTTCCCAGGCCTTTCTGTCCAAGGTTTTCCTGGCCCTTCAGTGAAGGCAAGCTCTTCACCTTTCTTGGAATGCTCAGGAAGTCCATAAGTAAAGAGACGCACCCTGCTAAGCTCAGCTCTTCTTGTATCAGCTCAAATTCAACTTCCAAAAGAATTTCAATCAAAGCATGTTTCCAATTCTCTTGCTCAAGGAGAAATAAATAAAATTCCCCATTGATATTGTGCAATATAGAAATATTTCCACGAGAAGTACAAATACTGAGCACAAGTTTTTGTTTTTTTTCTTTTTACATTTTGGAATGAGAGAGAAAAACAAATGCTTCAGTTTGCGCATAAATGATGCAAAATGCCGTTGCTGTAGATCATATAGTTCAAAGACGAGCTTTCTAGAGATAAAAAGCAAAACATTAAAACCAATATACAAAGTGTTTAAAATTATACAAATCACTTCCAGCATATTTTGTTAGGCTACTACCTAACACCATACACAAAGGCCAAATCAAAATTGATAAAAAACCTGTGTGTTAGACCCAAAGCATATAATATATAAAATAAAACACTCCATGACATTTCTCAGAAATATCTTGACAGACTCATCCCCCAAAGCAAAGAAAATGAAGGAAAAGATAAGCAGCTGGAACTATATCAAACTAAAAAGCTTATGTTCAGCTGAAAAGACAATAACCAAGATGAAGACATAACCCACCGAGAGGCAAAAATATATATTTGCACTCCACAAAACTAAAAAGGGACTGATATGGGCCCTCCCTGGTGACACAGCGGGTTAGGGTTTGGCACTGCAAGCTAGCTGGAGCTGCCTTAGTGAGAGTTCGATCCCTGCCCTGGAGCTGACCCACATGGCACAGCAGACCCCTCCTGTTTCACCCGCTGCTCCCCTCAGCAGTGTACTTTGTCACTCTGCCTGTTCTGGTCCCCACTCTGGCTCCATGTGGATCACCTCCAGGGCCTGGATACTCTTTTTGAGCTACTCTACCAGCCTGGTACAGATAATTAGGCGCCTTGAATATCAGGTGGTTTGTCTATGTATCTTATCAGTCCCTCCTGTCCAGAGTGAGGAAACCCCTTTGAAGCAACATAGTAATCATTACCATCCTTTGGGAGTAAAGGGGGGCATGACTCTACACAGGTCACTTTCCCAGCATTCAGAACGGGGCCTTGTCACCTAGAGGTTTCCCCCAGGATGCATGCGCTTTTGCTATGCCTTGGAGCTCAGGTTTGAGGCCTCGTTGTTCACTGCATGGAGTCACTGCCAACATAAATATGTATAGATATATAGAGATAGCTATAAAATCTCATATATTTGAGAATACTTCTATCAGTTACATATATGTTGAAAAGGTGTGAGGTTTTAGTATACCTAGATTGGACCATTTTGTTTAAACATTTTTCCATGAGGAAAAATTAGGAGTTCTTCCAAGACATATCTTTTTCTGATCA